GGGCAAAAAGGGTACGTGCTTCAGGCGCTAAGATATTAGGGGTGCCAGAAGACGAAAGACAAAAAAATTCATTATGAGATTTTAATAACAAAAAAGTAAAACTTTATTTTTACTGATAAGGCATAAAAAAAATTACTTGGTGATGTGCATAACAAATAACTTGCTTTGTTTATATTACCAAAGAATTTTAGTTTTTAATAATACACAAAGAACCACTGTTGCAAAAATCAAAGTTAAAAACGTTGATGTGTGTACGCTTTCTCATCAAACTCGGCATATAGTTAATTAAAAATGACTTTTCTGAAATTTCAAGGAATCAAAAGTTACTTAGAATGTCAGCACTTTTTCAAAAACTGTGTTGCAAACCTTTGAAATAAATAAGAGCATGGTGTAATTAATCTACCGAAAGTAAACACTTTTAAAAGTGTTTTTTTGGTGCTTCTTTAACTGCAGCAATGTTAATCGTTAACACATGAAAGCCTGGTGTTGCTTTCTTTCATCAATATTTATATTTTTATGCATAATTTTTTTTGACTATTGTAATAAATAAATAAAAATCGATGATCTTTTAACTTTTAGCTGCAGTCCTGCTAGATGGAAGATCTTGCTTGACAAGCTTTTGGATACCAGATGCTCAGCTTAGATTGCTGCTATAAAACTAATTGCAAAACGATCAAAAAATTACTGCTGCTCTAAGGTCATTGCTTTAGTTACGTTCAACCAAAACATCGACCCATAATCAAAATATGACTCGTCTTGGTGATGAAACAGAATTTGTCACAAAGCATATAATGATAGCAAAATTGCAGTAAACCTGGATATGCAGTCAACAAGTTCAATTTAAAATTAGGATTGTAAAAACTGTTTTGTTAAGATTCTCATTCATCTGGTTAAAAGATCGAGAACAGGTAAAAATTAAAGTTTGAAATAGAAGACAGCTTTATGAAAGATATTTGGCATCTTATTAGTTCAAAGTAGTCTTCGTTTTTCACTTCTGAAAACACTTTAGGCTTTCTCAATCAAATATTCTTAAAAGGTTTATATCCATTTTTCCAATCTATATGAACTCTAACTTGAATTTTTTAGTGCAATCCATGGATCTGTTGCAGAAGATGAACGACCTTTAAAGTAAACTAAACTTGGTTTTAAAAAATGATTGTAGGGCCACTATAAATTAAATGATTTAAGAAAGTCTATTGGACATAAAATTTGAAAATAAATTGGAAAAAAATCTGTCGTAAGATGACATAATAATAATAATTTTTGCAAGTAAAAAAGCAATGGAAAAAGAGTTTTCAATATTGATTTCAAAAAATCTGTTTTATTAAATCCAGATTAAATCCAGATTTTGTAAAAATATGAATGTAAGTATTAAAATAAAAACACAGTCGTTAACTTTTATAGCTCTAAATGCTTTTTATAAAAATATACATGCTTATAGGGATGCCTCTTTGTTACTAAATGACAGGTTACTAATTGTGGACATTCTTTAGAAGTATTGTTTTTGAATAGTACTATTATCAAGATAAATTATTTATAACCTTCTTTAAAAAAAAAATTTATTAAAATACATTACAAAAATTAAAATTTATTTTAATAAGGCGCCAAAATATTTTTTTCACCCACCTTTAAAATGTCTAGCGCCGGGCCTGTATGTTTACATATACAAACATAACAACAGCATTATCACAAAACTATGCTAGAAGTTTGTAATTCACTGAGCCAAGCATAAGTTTTTATGTTACAAAACAAGAAAACTGGTTATTGTTTTTTTTTTTGCAAATTCATTAAACTGCAGATAAAGCAACAAATTATCTTCACTGAAGATAATTGTTGCTTTATTGCAAAATAGCGTAAAGTAAATAAAGCATTATAAACCATTAGGTAAACCATTAAATAAAGCTTAAGAAAAACCATTAAATAAATGGCATCAAGTAAAATAAAGCATTATAAACAGTTAATAGCTTTCTAAATAAGTAAAAGTATATCCAATTTTAAGCTTTTGATGTTTGTTTCTGAACAGATAAATTGCTTAAGATAAATGGAGATTTTCTTTATACAGAAAACATAAAGAATTTACTTCATAAGACAATTTCTTGTAAATTTCATTTAATCATCGTTTTGCTCTAAAGCCATTCATAAAAAGTGACATCATAAATAACTTTATGAACTTTACATTTGTTAACTGTTAAACCTCTATGCAATTTACTGGCTCATTTATCTATTTTTTTCAAGTTGAACAATTAATTTCCAGAATTTTTATCTAGATCAAGATCAGATTAGGAGGATTGACCACTTAGTTCTATACTAGTTTAGGCATAATTTAACTTTTGTTAGTTAAAGTAATTAAAAATACACACCTCGTACCGAGATTATATTAGGCAAAACTTATTTTGCCTAATGCATGAAAAAGCCATTTGCCTAATCATAATTTGTAACACTACCACACTTATCGTAGTTAAGTTACTCGTCAGCAACGTCAAAACCATGAACAATAAAAAATGTCCAATGGAATTTTACTATGTAAAGTAAATTATTACATCTTAATTTACATCTTAATAGTAATATATTATTTCTCCTTAGGTGGCCACCTAATGTGCTGAACCCTAGATCTGCTACTGAATCAGTCTGGTTTTAACCTAATATTTTTTATTTGGAAAATAAATATGAAAAATGTTATCCATTGATTGTTTGAATAAGTAAATTTTTTAAAACTGTTTTTTTACTCATTCATATTTTCACTCTTGTATAAAAGATGCCATTGTTAAAATAGTTTGAACTTGTATTACTGATGTATATGACTAATATAAACTACTACCAATGCAGTAGTGGTATAGAGATAAAGGGCTCGCCTTGTAAGTGACAAGTTTGGATTTCCAACCCACCACATCCCTGGTTGTACCGCACTATTTTTGTATCTTCATGCAGCGATCTTGTTCATTTTTGCAATTTTGTTCGGTTTGTGTTTTGATGTTAAAAAGTCAAGAAAAAGTTGTAATCACAATTTAAAAAAAAAAAAAAAAATGATGTAGCTTTTTTGATTGTTGTGGCCCCCTTGGCCTTGGGGAGGTGATATTAGTAAATAGTAAAGAAGAAAAAAAATTATATAAAAAGTTATAAAACGTTTTAAGTTCTTAAACGAATACAAAAATTAAGTAATTATAGGAACAAGTTTTACAGTTTTAGTTTAAAAATTTAAATACATAAATTTAATACATAAAACTTTGTGTTTTACCTTTTACCTTTAAGAACTGCCTGAATTTGGAAAAAAAAACTGAATGGTTTTCAGCATTTTTAAAATACCAACTTATCATTGCTAAATATTTTATGCTTTATAAATAGGTGGGACTTTTAGCATATCACCTTGTCCTGCCTTACTTCAAGTACTGCTTTTAAGTATTTAGTAAAAACTATTGTTTGACAAAAAACAGAAGAAAAATAATTAACAAAATACAGTAAATACTAAGCAGTAAATTTGTATTTCTCTAGTGTAAACAGGATATAAAATTGCTTCAACTGCTTTTTCTTTGTCTTCATCCATGATGACTGACAGTAAAACACTTCAGGATGAGGCAAATAAGTTCTTATGGTCAATTTTATTTTATGACCAATTGCTATTGTATGAGGATGACTAGACTAATTAAGAAATGCATTTCATGATAATGAAAAAATTCTAAGCTCCTTTAAAGCATTTTCATTTTTTTTCATAATTAAAAACTAGCAAAAGCACTTTGATGATGTAATTAACAGTTTTTCTCAGACTTGTAGTGGGTTTTATGGTTGACATATATAACCAAGCGGACAATTGACAATGAACTTCTGAAAGAAGTATTTGAGTACTTCTTTGTTTCTACATCCAAATTTTGGAATTTTTGGATAACATAATTGGATAACGGACTATTGGATTACAGCATTGCATGCTTAAAGTAGGTATTTCTGATCTTTGCTGAGATCATGAATGAAGTCAGACATTTCAAAGTTCACTCCATTTACAATAGAAAATTTAACTTTCATAGAGAATGAGCATCAAAAAATAGTTGTCCACCAAGAATGGTTGAATGAGCAAAAAAATACCACCAAGAATAGTTGAATGAGCAAAAAAATACACCATCGGAGTATTCGCCTCCTGATATTAGTTTCAAGTAAACAAATGATACCATTTGGCACCATCACAAACTGTTTGTTTGAAAATTGTTTGAAACAATACTTTCACAATAGAATTTTTGTCATTTAAAACTGCTCTAACACTTTGCAGACATATATGATTAATATAGATGCTTTTGGGATATAATGATTTAATGATATAATGACGTCTGCAATTGACTTTCTATAAATTTACTAGTTTTCACAAATATTGAGTGTTCTGCATCTTCTTGGGATAATTTTTTTCTTCAAGGTAATTATGCAATCTAAAAAGGTTAAGAATAAAAAATCATTCGAAATCCACATTTACAATAAATAAATAAAAACATGTCATGTGCTCTTGTAAATGTAAATATCAAGAGCCTTCAAATCAATATATATATATATATATATATATATATATATATATATATATATATATATATATATATATATATATATATATATATATATATATATATATATATATATATATATATATATATAAGTATATATATTGATTTTTTATAAAAATGTAGCTTTTTTTTTAATTTTGGTTTTATTTATATATATATATATATATATATATATAAATATATATATATATATATATATATATATATATATATATATATATATATATATATATATATATATATATATATATATATATATATATATATATATATTAAATCAGTGAAATCTGTTAAATTTAAATCAGTTAACTTCAGTTCTCAAAACTAATGCAACAAAAAAAGTTTGGAGTAACATAATTGCTAAATTGTTCATATTTGATTTTCATTAATAAATTTTTTAAATCTAGTTTCTAAATAAAGTTATTTTTGACTTAATTGTTTTGACTTATTAATTATATTTAGAGAGAAACCACTTGCTGTTTACATATTTTCAAAAGAAAAAACGACAATCGATTTTGTTTTACAAAACACATCATCTGGAGGGGTATCTGTAAATGATGTTATAATGCATGCTACTGGTCAGTGTTTTGTTTATAAATAGTTATAAATTATGAAATTATAATTTTTTATATTTAAATCAGTAAATTTTATTTTAGTACCATCTTTACCATTTGGCGGAGTTGGTGAAAGTGGAATGGGGGCATATAATGGCATACATTCATTAAAAACTTTTTCCCACCAAAAATCATGTCTGATTGCAGCTCAGAGATTTGAAAGCCTTAACAAGTAAATTTTGTTTTTCTTTCTGAAATATATTAACATAATATAATCATGATATTATACCATTTATTACTTATTTTATTAGTAGTATTATAGATACTATAGACACCATTGTCATGATTAACTTTTTTTGGCATAACTAGAAAATTTTTATATTTTTATTCATGCAGTTTGGTTATATAAAGGACACTAATGATAAATTGACAAATGCAGTTAATAATTACTCTAAAATGTTTTTTAGATTTGTGAATGTATTTATAAAAACAAGTTTTTTGTTTCCTAAATGATGGGGTTCTACATTTTGATATACTGAACAGTGTAATCATACGAAGGACTACAAAAGTGCTCTCCTTGCTCCTCTGAGTAAGCTATTGCATTTTTTCCATTTTCCACATGTCAAGATGAATATCAGGAATATAAGAGACATTCTATATTCTAACTAATGCAGCAGTGATATAGTGGTAGAGTGTACAAAACTTAAAAATAGAATAAACAAAAAGATAGTAGTGTATAGTGGTTCCATAAAAACACCTTTGCTTTAAATTTGGCGGCCATCCCTAAAGTATGTCAGCCATTTGATATCATAATTATATCATATTGATCTCATACTGTGAGATCTATGATATCATAGCATAATACGTTTATGAGATAAATATGATATCAAAATGAAATCACACAGTTATGTCAATTTAAGCTCAAATTTGATATCATAATATGAAAACTTTATGATATCAAAAGTTGATATCATCCTGTTCTCAGAATGAGAAGTCATATTTTGAGAAGTTTATGATATATTTGAGAAGTTCAATGCAGTAGTGGTGTAGTGATAGAGCGTTCGCTTCATAAACGAGAGGTTCCGAGTTCAATCCCCACCACGTCCCTGGTAATACCGCGCTCAAATCGTTTCTCCGCCCAGCGGCCTTGTTTGTCAAGGTTCGTGTTTTGGAGTTATAGAGTTAAGAGAGGGTTATAACCACAAATAAGTAGCCTCCTCGTCTGTAATGGCCTTCTTGGCCTTGAGGAGGTGAATTAACAAAAAAAATGATTATGTCAAAATGAAATCACACATTGATGTCACCCCGACCTTAAAATTTGATATCATATTTTGATAATCTCATAAGAAATAAATTGTCTTTTTTATACTCAACTTTTTTATTCAAATATTACAACACCACTGTATATATAAAATATTACAGCACCTTCATATATATATATATATATATATATATATATATATATATATATATATATATATATATATATATATATATATATATATATATATATATATATTATTGTTATTATTATTATTATATATAATGAATGAAAATTCGAATAAAACGATAACAAAAAAAGAAATTATATGTTTATAATTATAATAAACTTATAATGTGCAAAAAATAATTTTTTAAAACAAATTCAAAAGTGTTCTTTAAACAAAAACACAAAAAGAAATTGTTTGTTTATAAATATTCTAAGTTTATAACATGTAAAAAATAATATTTAAAATATATTTGAAACTGTTCTTTAGCAAATCACACAATCTTTTCATCAGAATTAAGTTAATCCGAGATTCAAACTTTATCTTTGGTTTATAGATTTAATCTAGGATTCTAAGTTTAGATTTTGTCTTTGCGTTGAGTTTATAACTGAAATTCAACATTTTGATTAGTTTTCTCAAGATATGTTTCCAATACCTTGTTTCTACGTCAGCACATTATATCTAGGGATCGATTTTGTATAAACCAAATCAATGAACAGAGTTTAAACTAAAACACACAAGTATTAATATATATTTAATAAAACACATTTATTATAAGAACTTAACACTTTTATTATTAATATATAAATATTTTTATGTATATTAAAAACAATGTCTTTTCGTGTAATAATATAAACTAATATGGTAATAACTATCAAATTTAAAAACCATCTTAATTTCCAAAAATAATAATATAGATCATATAGTACACTCCATACACAGGGTTCATGGCAGTTTTGAAAATCCATTTTCCCTGATTTTCACTTATTTTCAAGTATTTTTTCCCTGAGTTTGTGCTGTGAAAATTATATATTTTTGCTGTCAACATTAAAGGATACTTTCGCATCTGAATCCATGTTCCCTAAACATATGGTTACTCTAGTAACCCATGTTCCCTAAACATATAGTTACTATATAAAATTACTGCAGTTAGTAACTTTCAATATTGATAAAGATTCAAAAATTTAATATTGCAAAATAACTTATTAGTAATAATAACGTTTTAGACACTATAAAAACACAAGTATTCACTGAATATAATTAATTTGTAATTGTCAACTTAACTGATAAGATAATAGAAAAATTAAATAAATTCAAATTTTAATTAGTTAAAAAAAATGGATACAAAGATGAACAATAAAGTTAAAGTATTGAAGTTTAAATTAAAACTGTGCTGATCACTTAAAAGTTATATTATTGCTTATGTACAAGTAATAATATAACTGATGATGTAAGATTATCAGGTTTAAAATAAACTAGTGGTATTTGCATCACTTTTGATTGCAATTCATCGTGAGATAGAAACATCATATCTGTATCACAATCTTGCACTCCATGAATACCAAAATTTTTTGAATTACAAGGAGAAGTAAAAAAGTTTTCATTTTTTGAGTAGATTTGTCCAAGAATTGTTCGATTCTCTAATTGTACAGTGTCAATAAAGAAAAATTTTCCAGATTTAAGTAAATAGCGTTCATTTTTGTTAGGAGAATTACTTTTCTAATCAACATATCTTTCTGCTGCAGAAGCTATATGGTTTAGACAGAGAAAGTTATACGTAAGTAAATGATCCTAGTAGTGAACCCTTGCGTTGTTTACAAAACAACTCAGCATCGAATGAGCATAATCTTTATACAATTAGGTAAATGTCAATATTTTTTTTTTACCAATTATTAATAGATTACGTACTGACAGAATCATTTAACAGTGTTTAAATTTTAAAATACTTAATATAATCAAAACAATCCAGGAAAATCAAGTAACACTAACTTAAAATATTTTGTCAACTTTTTGATATTTTTGTTTGATCTTTTATTTTGTTTGTTGTTTAATTATTTTAATTTGAGATTGTTAAATCTCAAAATCTTGCACCTCATCTTTGAAATAAAATAATATTACCAAATTTTGATCCTTCTTTTACTCTTCCTGTATTTAAAACTAATTTTTTAAATATTTTCTTTATGGACAACATTCTAAAATTCTACTAATGTATGTAAAATGTATTTGGGTCATTCTTCTGAAACATTTTCAATCAATATTTTTATAAAATTTTAATATTAAAATTTGCGAACCAAATTTTTTGCTGTTATAGCTTTAAGTATATTTAGTCATTTGTAAGTATCTGCACACCTCATTAAAAGTCAGTTTACAAAAAAAAAAATTAAAAATTTTTAGCATTATCCACAGACGTGACAAGTTTACCACAGACGTGACATTATGAATAGTATTGCTTTATGCTGTAACAGCTATAAGTGTCTCTCTGGTAACTTACAAAAATAATATCTATCTTTAATCAGCAGTTTGTAATAGTTGACATAAAATAGTACAAGGTACAAGTTTTTACAAAATTTTAAGTATTTTATGTATGGATTGACACTTGGTTTCTTGATCCGCCAAAGTGGAGTGATTGAATTTCTTTCAAGTATTTGCGATTGTAATTTTCTGAAAAGTCACAATGAATAAAAATATCCCTAGGCATTAAGTTATTTTTTATTTCTGATGTAGCTTTGTACTGGTGTTTTATAATGCATACATGCTTCATAAACTTTTCCAGTATGTTGTTAATAAAATGTAAAAACAGTTCTTGTTTAGTTAGTATTAACACTTCTTTTACAGTTTTAAAACATGTCTTCATTTTATCTTTTACCACAAGTTCGACACTTTTTTTAGACCATTGTGGAAATGTTACTTTTTCATTCATATCATTCTCAAATTCTTTTTCAAATTATTTTTTTGTTTAAAATGCATACTCCACATTTCTCTTCCAGGCATGACTCTCTCAGCTCGCCGTCACATGTTATACTTTTTAACAAGTCAGTAGGATATTTATATGCTAACATCTTAAGACTATACAACTTTTCAAGAATCAAAGAAAAATTCTCATGGTCAATACATAGACAAGTATCTTGTTTACGAAAGTCTGGTTGAACAACCCAAAAGGGTCTTAATTTGCAAAATGTGCTATAAGACGTTGACTTGAACTAGTTGTTTGTTTGAACTCATTCCACAAATTTATCATTGTATCAGTCTTTTTTGTTTTTTCACTTTGTTTCTTGTTATTGTTTCTTTTTTCCCAGCAGTAAGCCTACTGGAACTATCTTTTTCTAAAAAGTTCCTAACTTCAATTTCAAGTTGTTGTTTTTTCAGTACATTTGAGGGCTGATTCTAGTTGTATGGTAAGATATATCTTGAAGTAAGATTGTTTTTTTTATCTAATTATTGGATTTTTTTCTTCAACCCATCTCTATATTTTCAACGAACTTTTAGCCTGTTCTTTTTCTGCAACTAGATTCCTGACTGGACCAGGAAGTACACTTATGCCTATTTTATTTTCGATAGGAATATTTACAGTTGGACTTTCAGGTGGTGCAGACAAACATTCAATAAGTTGCTGTCTCTTCTTTTTCATTTCACGACTTCTCTTGGTCCTTTCTTTCCAACCTTTTCTTACTGATCTTTTATCTTTTTTTGAAAGTTCATGAATTTTTTTTCATATTGCTTTTTTACTTTCTCTATCTTTCCGTTTTTGTTCTTCATATTTGTCAGGGTTTTCAGCTTTCATCTTCTCCCTCGCTTCCCGCATACTTAGTTTTTTCAATTCTCTAGTTTTTTCTATCTTTCCCATTTTTGTTAACTGTAAGTAAAGAAAAAATTACAACTATCTGGATAGAAACATTTATCTTTTCAATAATAATTAATTAGCTATATGAGCAAAGTTTTTAAATGTTAAAGATCCTTAAAATAGGCATTAAAAAATTCAGGAACAGGTAAAATTGTCATTTGTTGTCACATCCGTTCCATGTGTGTCACGTCTGTTGCTTTCTGTACTCCACAGGTGTGACATCCACAGACGTGACAAATTGAAGGAAAAACCCTAAAAGGGGTGCTATGTTTTGAGGCTAGGACTCTGTTCCCTTTGGAGTAAATATGCCTAGGTAATTGCTATTAAACAAAAGTATTGTTTATAAAAAAGTAAAATTATATACCCTGGGTATGTTTGCCACAGATGTGACACACTAAGACTAACAAATTCAACTTTTGAAACTTTAACACTTATCAGCACTAAACAACTACACCAAAAATTCCTCCTCTATTACTCATTAATAAAAATGTCTGGTAGTTTAGCTAGAACAGCAAAATAGAGAACTACTGCTGCCTCCTACACCTTTTTTTTGGAGTTAATAACTCTATCCACAGACGTGACATTTAAGGTGGTGACAAGTGCTTCAATTACATAAAAGTTACTTTAAAAATATGTTTTGAGGAAAATATTATGTCAACTCTAGTTTTAATTTATTTTTGATTATTTATTATATATTAAAACAAAAGTAAAGTACTAGCAAAAAGGTTTAAACTTCTTGGGATCAGCAAAAATTCTGGGTCGTGACATTCCACGGATGTGACATGCGCAGTCTGTGAAACATTATTTATTCACTGAAAATGCTATTATGGATTAGTTTTCATCAGTTTAACATTGTATCAGCTGATTATTTGTTTTTTGCACCAGTTTAGAGTAAAAATAGAATTAACTTGAGAAAAAAATTAGTGGGGACAGTATATTGCTACTTTTTTGGAGAATGATCCATTTGTTAAATCTTCAGCATATTATATATTAAAATGTTTGTATGTTGTATCTTTGGATTATGTTAAATCCTCGATATATCTATATATTACATATAAACATGTTTAACTTTTAAGATTCTGATGATATGATCCTTATGTAGGTATGTAGATTGGAAATTTTAAATTGATCAAAGACTAGATTGTTATATATCATTGGAAAGGGCTTCAATACAGTATTTTCAAGATAAAAAATTATTAAAATCGAACTATTCTACAAAAAGTTATGACGTTTTTAGTCGCAAATTTTTGATATATGGATTTGTTGAAGAAACTGTGGTCAAAATTCAAATTCTCTTCATTTAAAATTTCTTAAAACGATTACTATCCTTTGTAAAGTAGCAAAACCAACTTTTGAATCTTTTCAAAATGCTAAAGATTTGTGGTTTACAAATATTTAAATTAAATAAGTCATTGACTGATTGAATAGTTATAATAAATGACTTACCACTGTGAATGAATAAAAAAATGTACATGTCCATTTTTACAACAACTGCATGTTTTGGCAGGTAATAAGAAGTGTGTATCTAAATACTCTTTAACTGCACTACGAACAAAAAATAAGGTTGCTTTTTGTGCTCATTGCCGTCTAAAAAAATACCTAAAAAAAAAGTTCAATAAACCTGGCACAGAATTTTAGTACAAAATTCCCTTCCGTAAAACACGGATTTCCGCGTACCTACCTTATGATCTTCTTTTCGAAATCTAGCTTTATGTTGTTAGTACGCTGAATTGTTTATTTTTTTCCAAGACTTTTATGTTATTTTGTATTACAACTATCATTGTAAACTGAAAAAAATAATAAAATAACAATATCAAATTTTTCGTCAACAAATTTGTTTTTGTAATTTTGACTTTTGTATTACTTTAAACATTATAAATCGTAGTATATTTTTACATTACACTTTTGTAAACAGATCACATGCATAAACTTTAGTTAAAAATAGCATATTCAATTATGAAGAGTATTAAAAAAAAGGTTATTGAGTTGTCACAAAAAAAAAGGATTGGAATAGAAAAAAAAGACATACAAGAAAAAATGATTCAAGTTCATAACTAAATAAATAATGCATAAAAAAGATGAAAATATTACTGTACATTGATAAAAATTAACTTTTAATATTTAATGAAAAAAAATTAAATTTTTATTATAAGTATGAAAAACTTTCTTAAATATGAAATATTTTCTTTTAGTTTACAGATCTAATTCCAGTATATCAATCCTGCTTGTTACATTGGATTTATATGGCAATAATAAAAATTTGCTTTTATAATAAAAAACCAGTGTAAAATCGATTATCCGGTTTAACAATTAAAAAAAACCGAAAACCAGTTTTTTGAAATTTTCTGGTTTTTGCCTACCTACCATGAGATCAAATTAAGATTACGTTTTTGACGTTTTGATGTTTTTGACAAAACACCACAAACTCGAGTTTGTGGTGTTTTGTCAAAAATTGATATCAATATGATGTAATTTAGATATCAAAAGTTTCTCATGGTTTAATATCAAGTCGTAATCTCCATTTGATCTCATGATGATATCACAACCATTCTTGAATTTATTTATCTATGGTTATGACATCTATATGATATCATATCGAGATAATTATTTGATCTCGCAGCATGAATAGTTATACTCATCATTTTTATGTTTACAAATTCTCTGACGATAAGTATACTCATAAGGTTGCTCATCATCAATTCATCATCATTAGAAATTTTTGATATGTTAATATCATATTGATCTCATGCGTTGACTGGTGTACAAACGCGTACAAAGGGGGAGGGGGTGTTAAAGACAGTGAGTATGTACGCGGTTCGACTATGCCTTCTAAACTTTTAAAACATTGAATTTTACGTGTGTAACAAATCAGTATTGTGTTGTATTTTTATTTTTTTCTGACTTCAGTCCCAATTTTTTTTTAAATTTCTTTATAAATAATGAGGAAAGAAAAAAGAAATCAAAGACAAGCGTACAAATCCGTTCAAGAGGAGGGGATCCTAAATCAGTGGTTTTACTGCGTACGTACTTTATGGATGCCCTCTTGAGCTAATATACATACATACATACATACATACATACATACATACATACATACATACATACATACATACATACATACATACATACATACAATTATAGAATTTATTCTATAATAAATATATAAATATAATAATATTGATAATAATAATAATAATAATAATAATATTCATCCAGTTCAAGATTCATTCATCCATTCCGACTCAGGCTTTGATTTTTCAAACTTAGTCCTGGCCATTAGTATAATCAGTTTCCTTATAATTTCAAAATCTCTGAGAATAGTTATACTCATCATTTTTATGTTTACAAATTCTCTGACGATAAGTATACTCATAAGGTTGCTCATCATCAATTCATCATCATTTATTTTTAAGAGATGTTAGATAATTTCTTAAAATGGGTGTCCGTAGAAATTTTTGATTTTTCAGCTATTGTACTTTCAAACACTGTGCAAATTCCACACTAAATTACGTTCATGTCTACCCAGAAAATATTCTATAGCGGAATATTAGTGGACCTATATAGGCATTTTGAGCGGTCTACTGTGGTTTTGCTTATCGGTTACTTATTGGAGTAATAGTGGCAGCCGCCAAAAGTGGCTAACCGACGACTAGCCACTATATCACATGTTGAAAAGTTATCGTCTGGCCACTTATAGCGAATGCCATTTTTGGTTCACTAGATAATCGATGAGCTAAACTCCAATCAACAGCTTAAAATGCCTATATAGGTTCATTGCAAATCCGCTACAAAAATGTTTGAATTTATCCCTAACTTCTACATATACTACAGCGTTTACCGTTGCTTCATCTTGAATCTTCCTCCCCTAGCCACTTGAAGTTATAAATTTTATTATTTGTTAATAATGAAAAATAGTTATATTAAACACAGACTTTGGTGTATGAAATGGGAATTTGGGATAAAATGTCTCTTTGGGGTAAAAGCATTTTTATTTTCTCTAATATATGAATCGCTAACTTGAAAAAGGGGACATGTCCTGCAAAAATTCACATCACATGTCCCCTTTTTCAAGTTATTGATTCATATATTCTCTTACTGAACTCTAGTCAACATTTTATTGTTAAATAAATGGAAATCAAATGGCTGATCATGTAGCGATAATTTTTAAACTTTATTTCAGCCAGAAAATACGTTAAAGTTGTTTTTATTTTTCAGCGTAGGTTTTTTGCTGCATATTTTTTTATTTGTTTAATATTTTATACTTATTAAAAATGTTTAGTAAATTATACATTTTTATTTTTTTTATAATTTTAAATTATTTTTATGTCATACTTCAATTTATTGATACAAGTTTTATTTAGAATACGTTACCCTCCATATCCTTCCCAAGAGAACTACGTCCTTCGTTTTATTACGAATGGACTAAATAAGAAAATTTACGGACGCCGTGGAAATAGGTATTTGACAATCGGAACCTCACTCATTGCTTGTGGTGTTGTATTTTCAGCGTATGTTTACAATTTCAAGTTTTAGGAAACTTTAAAACAAGATTATGTTTTTATTTTGTTTGAAATAGATTTAAAATCATCGAAATGGACAAATACAATAAATATTCAAATGAGTGTTTTTTTATTGACATAAGATGAAATAAAAAACTTTAAATAGTATAAATGATATTTTAACACTTTAAGTACCACTACTTGGGAAATATATTGTTTGTTTTTTAATACTATTATAGATTCATGATTTAAGTTTTTTAACCTTTTATAGAATTTTTTACTGTAATGAAATGCCTTAACTTAATAAAACCTACTATCATATAAAAATTACAAACTCATTGCAACAGTGTTTCTACTTGTTTTGGAAGAGATTCTGGACTTGTTTAGTAATAATAAATCGTGGGATGGTAGCGAAAAAGTATTCAAGAAAGCATTATTTTTGTTTTTCTCGATCTAAACTGCATTGGTAAACGTCATAAACCTTTTAATATGTTTAATAAATAGAATAAGCTTACACAAATATTTTTTTTAATTTTTTTTAATAATTTTGTTGCTTCCTAGTTAAATGCACATCCGCGGTACTCTGTGACAAGGCCGTTAGGTCTTCTTGGGGCACTTTAATAACAAAATAAAAAGTATATATATTTTAAAAATATATCAAAGATTTTTTTAGTTTTTTTTTTTGTCTTTGACAATCACTTTGGTTCTAAACGAAATGAAAAAAATTTATTTGTGTTTAACATAACTGATGTCTGAATGTGTTTTAAAAAATTTCTTGAAGTTTTTATTTTGTTTATGCAGAATTTTTAAAAAAAGAGACTTAATAAAAGTAAAAGTCTTTTTTTAAAAACTTCTTTAAGTTTGCTTCTAACTGTTTTAAATAAAATTAAAAAACTTTTTAACGTTTTAATTTAAACATGATTTTATATCAAAAAAAGCTAGAACCTTTAAAAAAGTGATTTATTTTAAAGAATATGTTTTTTTTACTCAAAGATTTAATGTTTACTTAACAAGTTAAACTAAACAAAAAAAAAGATATATACTGGTAGTATTAAGTCTTTTTATTCTGTTTTTTTGAGAAATAATTTAATGTCTTTGTAATAATTAAAATATTTCCAGCACCGAGCAAATTTCCCACTTGAAAATAGCATTCAAGAACTTGAGATTTCACAGGTCTGGAAATTAAAGCTAAAGTTAGGATTCCATAATAAATTAGTGAACACTAAAAAATAAAGCGATTGTTTTCTATTAGCAAATATGGGGTAACTTGATATAGCATTTGTAGGGGGACTTAAAATTGTAGAATAGTATTCATTGTGCCATAAACAATTTTAAAAATTGTTTCTTTTAATATTTATAGTCATTTTTTAAAAGATTCATGTAAATATAATACAAGGAGATCCAATATCGATACAAAGCCATTATTTATTGACGCTTTAGAATGACATTATTAAAACAGTATATTATCTGGTTTTCTGAAATGTGATCAAGGCCGGCGCGATAGGGGTGTGTGGGTGTGTGTGACATTCACCCCCCCCCTCCATCAATGATTTTTAGTCGGCAAACTGGACCCTTAGTCGGCAAATCGGACCCTTTTAGACTAGTTAGTCGGCAAATGTGGCCCCTTTCGACATAGGTTAGACAGTCGGCACCTACTCGCGCCGGCCCTGAATGTGATTTGGACCGTTGGATGCATTATTTGGGTTATAATTATTGATTTGTTTATCTTTCAAGTAAAAATCTATCTTTTCTCTTCGTTTTATACTTTTCATTTACTTTTTTAATGATGCTTATAGTATGTATAAAGGTACCCCATGGGTGGAATACCATGGGTGGAATCCCTTGAAACAAATTTTATACTTTACTTTAAATAGTCTCACAAGTTTAATCTGCTATATTTTGAAAATTTATTAATTTAATATTGTAGGTATAAATTTATTCTACAAACGCCTGAAAAATAGCGTGTTAAAAAAATTGTTACGAAGCAAAAACCAAAAGTGTGTCATGGTGCTCCACACTCCCATATATTAAAATTAAAACATAAAATCTTAATTGGCATTTTAGATTTTCAACAAATTTTAAAAGATTGCTTGTAGTCCACAGTAAGATTTTTGGTGTTTTCTCTTAAAACAATCTAATCGTTTATCTTGCAAACCAGATATTTTGCGGAAATGGCAATTTCCTGAAAAGCACCTTAACTATAATGAGAACGGTGGCTTTAACATTGTGTAAATTTTTATATAACTATGAGTATCTGTAACGCTGTGGTTAGAGCACTTGCTTCAGGATCAAAAAATTCATTGTTCTAGTCATATTTGCGACATCAGTTAGGAAGGAGACGTGAATTGTCTAGCTAAGCGCTCTTCCCCGCTGCTCTGTGACAAGACTGTTAAATCTTCTTGAAGCACCTTAATAACCAGATTAGAAAAAAAACTTTACAAACATTTAACTAGATAAAAATATTCTGATTTAAAGAAATCTATTTTCATTATTTTCCGACATGATTTTTTAAATCTTTTTTGAAATGAAAATAGTTATAACTATTAAATCAGATTTTTATCAAAAGACTACTTACTTTTTTCTAGTGTACCACTTTCTTACCACTTTAAAAATCCGTTTCTCTTAAAAGGGTATTTAGATTAATTTTTTATGCAATATTATATTGCTAAATTGCATTAAAAAATAAGAGAAGAAATTTAACTACGCCCATAACAACAGACCGCCCAAAAGTGTACGACTAGCAGATACTGTTCTCAGCAACTTATAAATTGAACTGAAATTTTGTAACAATTTTGCAAATTTCAGCAACAAATAAATTGAACTGAAATTTTGGCATTCTTTATTGGTGTAATTACCATGTACGCTTAGTTTAGAAACTTCTGATGTTTGTTTTTTTGTATTTTTTTTTTTTTTTGTGAATAAATAAATTTTTACAAAGTTAACTTAGAATAGATAAAATCAAGTTACAAAATTAATTCGAAAAAACATGTTTTTAGTAAGATAGAGTTTAGTAAAAGCACAAATATATAAAAAAAACTACGGTCGGTGTATCTAAAGATTTATGTATCTGATCTGATTTATGTATCTAGATTTATGATATGATCTGATTTATGTATCTAGATTTAGTATCTGCTAGTCCTACACAGTTTTAACAAAAATGCTTTTAACAAAAATTGCTTCTTGTAAGGCTGGATATGGTAGGCTGGGTATGAGCGCAACGAGTTTTTCATATGAGTATTTTATAAATTAATACATTGGACCAAAATCGAAGATAAAAAGTCACCGAGTTTTGCGACTTCATTGACCTATTCCAGACCTGGGTTTAATTTTATAATAAATATGCTTAAATCGCAGGTTATAATATAAAGTTTCTTTTATCAATTCTTTTGACGTAATTTGAAAGAAATGTTTAAATTCTAATAAATCTAAATTAATAAGTAAAAAAAGTCGTTTAGATTTGGCTTTAAATTAAAGTAGAGTTTTTATTAACAATTCTGAAATCCTTTTAATACGATCCACAATACTGAATCAAGTATAAATTTAATTTTAATTTAAATCATTTTAAAATTAATTTGTAAATCTAAATCTTGCAAAATTATTTATGGTTTTTAAAATATTATTTATGGTCTTTAAAATATTATTTATGGTCTTTAAAATATTATTGGAATATACCCTCAGATATTCCTAGCTTTGTTATTTGTTAAATACTTGGTATTTATTAAGTTAATAAACATTTAAGACTTCAAGTGTACGAAAAAAATTTGAAATTACAAGAATTTGAATTACTACCACAACCTTTTCATAGAATCCCCAGAAGTACCTTTCTTAAAAACTACATCAAATTTGACCTATTTTTTAAATATTTTGTATAAGGTTCAAAATGTAAGATGGTACAAACTATTTCCTCACTTTTGGACTGTGTAAAAGTACATTAAGTTAGATGATTTTACACAGTGTTAAAGCACATTAAGTTAGATGATTAGAATTTTTGCATTTTTGGCATAAAAGTTACGCATGTCAATTTCATGATTAACAAAATTTGGATACTGCAGCTATATTTAAAAAACACAAAAGTGAAAAAAAAGGTCAAATAGATGATACTGCCATGCTTAAACTCACAAGTTCGTAAAGTTGAACATAGCAGTTTGACACCTTTAAGTATTGTGTACAAACGGAGGAATTGGTACGAAACGTCATAAGTTCTTTGTTAAAAGACTGGCAAGGAAAAACAAAATGAAAAAGCTGAAAAAAAAAATGAAAAGCACTTGATTGTAATGACGTGAATAAGAGCGAATTTTTTTTTCGGGATACTTCGCTCAACTATTTCTTTCAAAGGATCCAGAACACAGTGCACTAAAAAGTACGATTTTGAAATTGGATTTGAATTTAAGCTAGATGCTACAGAAACGTTTAAAAATTTCTTCGCTTTTCTAAGTTGTTTCTAAGTTTTTTTTTTGTTTTTTTTTTGTTACTATGTAATATGTTTTTGTATTATATTTATTAGGGTTATTCACTGATAAAATTAGATTAAATATACCTAGGCCACATTGATTTAAATGTCACTTGTTTTCTTTTCTATAACAATACTTAATAAAAAAAATTTTAAAGTATCAAAATATTTTGTTGAGTATTTAATATCATAATACCCAAGTTAATCTTTGAATTCATTTTTAGTAATTATTTCAACACTATAATGTATGAGCTCTTTAACAAATTTATGAAAAAATTACTTAGCGACTTTTATATATATATATATATATATATATATATATATATATATATATATATATATATATATATATATATATATATATATATATATAATAATAATAATAATAATAATAATAATAATAATAATAATAATAATAATAATAATAATAGCAATAATAGCAATAATAATAATAATAAATAAATGAAATCAATACTTAAAATAAAATTTAACGCTTTGACCTAAAGGGTCAAAGCATTAAATATTATCTGTATTCCTTACCAGAAATGAATACTTGAAAACTCGAAACAAGTAAGGAATATAAGTAATATTTACAATGTTAACAAAATTGTTTACTTTGTAAAACAAAGATTTATCAACAATTTAAAATTTGTCAATCAAAGGTTATTTGTAATCTGTAGCCTAAAACTGTTTTCACTCCAACTTTTTATTTTAAATAAATATTTGAAGGAAGATTGCGTAATTAATCTGCTCAAGTAACAAGAACTCGTTAACTGCGGAAGTTTTTTGTCGGGATTTCTCAATGCTTCTTAATATTAGGAAAAAATATATAAATTTTTGAAGTTGTAGTAAATTACAATAATAAAGTTATAGTAAGTTACAATAATAAGTTGAAGTTGAAATAAAATAAGATGGAGTTACAATAAAAAGTTTAGCAATCAATACATTCTCAAAAAAAAATTGTAATTAGTTATTCTTTTCTTTTCTTTTTTTTATTATGTTTGTTATATTTCAAAGAGTAAATAGTTACTATTGTTTACAATATTTAAGAAGGATTCACAGAAATATACTTTTCCTTAAAAAAAAAAAATCTTATTCTCATTTAAAATCTCATTTAAAAAGAAAAAGTCATTAAATCAGAACCAACAATCTTTTTAAATTTTTGAAAAGAAGAAGACTAAAGTCCATTGCTGAAATGAGTCAAGAATTCAATTACAACAAGGTCACATTTTTAAAGTTTTTTCATTTATTTTACGTTTGTATAATATATATATATATATATATATATATATATATATATATATATATATATATATATATATATATATATATATATATATATATATATATATATATATATATATATATATATATATATATATATATATATATATATATATATGTCAGGTGTCTTGTCAGATGATTAGTTAAAAAATTTTATAATATAATAAATATATGTAAAAAAACGGCTCTTAACTACTTTTTTATATAACAAGACAAAATTAAGTTAAAAATTTTCTTGTTTGTAACGTTTTTCATTTACATAATAGATAATAGGAAAAAAAGCAATAACATAAAATGTTTTGCCCCCCCCCCCCTTAGAAAATTTTCTGCGGACGCCTATGTATATACATGAGATAGATGGGTAGCATTACATAGATTCGAAATGAACAATTTTTTTTCAATTTGTTTTGAAAATAGAACTACGGAATTATATCGAAAGATTCAAGGAAATGAATCGAAAGTCTAATTTAAAAGTTATTTCGATTACCTGCCTAAACCAAAACCCTCAGTCAATGTATACAAATATAAAATATTTCTTATCATATTTTAGGCTTAACGTTTAAATATATATATTTTTATTATTTTATATTTTTTGTGTGAAAATGTTGCAGTAGTTAAAATAATATGCAATGATTTTTTTGACGAATACTCTAGCTAGAAATATTTGATGACTGCTATTTCTTATTGAAAATATTTTAAATACGAGTTGCAGAGATATAATATTTCATCTGAAATACTCAGAAGCAATTTATTATCTCAAAAATAACTACATGAACTAGACAAATCATAACTTCCATGCGTTACTTTCGTGTGTGACCATACGTGAACTGCACTTGAACGATTGCTGTGACTCTATGATACATAGTGCAATGCTGTAGCTTTCTAAAAATCTCTACTAATATATGAAACATTACTTTAAAAAAAGTATATTGCTAAAACTCATAGTTTCTGAGGAGTTCAAGTTTATTTATCTAGTTACTAAAATGTGCATTTATCTGTTCCGTGCGTGATTCCATACTTAATTTCTTCTTTGATGACATCACTATAGTATATCATTCTTTTTGTACAAAATATTACACAGATTAGCATAGATTAAATAGATTAGAAATTAGAGTATATTAAAGATTCTCAGTTTTATTTTATGAAAAGAATAGACAAAACATATACGAGTTTCTGCAAGTGATTTTTTGTAAATACTCTCCTTTTACTGCATTTCGATACAAACCCTAAACTGCATATTTCAATGCAAATTATATAAGTTTATGGCTTAAATCACTTCAACCTAAATCCCTTTTTTGATCAATTTTTTTTTCGATATGCTTTCCAAAATAGCTAGCTGTGGGGGCTTCAGTACATAAATCAACTAACTTTATAGAAAGAACATACAAGGAGTGCTGCTACATCGACTGATGGTTTGGGCCGGGGCAACAATAATTTTTTTCATTAATCTTTGTTTTTTTTTTTTTACGCTTAAAAAAAAACAAAGATTAATGAAAAAAATGCCGACAGACATAACTGCAAAAAAACATACAGACTGTATGTTTTTGTGTTTTTGTATGTTTTATGTTTTTAAAAATATTCTTGTCTTTTATTTACGTTTTTGCGGTTATTTTTAAAAACGATCAAATTTAATTAGTTTTTTCAATTAAATTGGTATTGTGGTTTATCCTCATCCGGCTAATTGCCATATAGAGGCTACATTACCAAGGCCCGCAAAGACTGGTGCAGCTCCAAAAGGAGCATCATAATCCGCATTACAGAAGAGAGTAAGGTGAGTTTGGGAAGAATGAAGATATGTTAGAGTGAAAGACAGAAGTAATCGAGTTAGAAAGATAGCAGAGAGAAAGCGGACAGTGTTGTACACGAAGTTGGAATATATATATATTATGCAATGCGTACTGTTAGTTAGGTCACCTAACTAATGTACGCCGACAAAGACTTGATTGGAGTTCACTTGAACTCTTCCTCAACTTTCTTTGTCGTCGTAGTTTTTTCAATTAAAACTACGACGATATATATATATATATATATATATATATATATATATATATATATATATATATATATATATATATATATATATATATATATATATATATATACATACTAAAGTTTTAAAACAAACGAAAATAATGAAATTACATTGAGCAAATTTACGTACTTGCGGGATGCTCTTAAAAAGTAAAATATTGTTTTAGTGAAGATGAAACGCGGTAACAGCAAACATGTTTCAATTTATTTCTTGATATTGTTTCAAGTTGTTTCAAGTTACCTTATTTAACATATATATTATACTTATCAGGAATTATCATAGTCAAATCAACAACATTGGAAGGCATTGGAAGGTCGCAAAAGTTGAAAAGGGGGGGGGGGGGCTAAAAACATATTAAAAAGGAAAAAGTTCCTCAATTTTGTATGATACAGCAAAATAGATGAAAATGATCTATTTATTCAGTTATTTATCATACGCAACGTGATTAATCATCTTTTTAACGTGATTAGTCATCTTTTGCCAGCTTACATTCATTTAAAAAATAGTTAGATTGCGATAGTATCTTAAACAGTTTTATGGGTATACTTTTTCATGGTAATGTTTAATTGTGACTGAGTCAATGCAGACTGGGAATTGATAATTCCGCTGTTTCTATTATAAAACTGTTTAGGAAATGGGGGGGGGGGGGCTTAATGCAGTATCCACCCCTCCCCCAGTGTTTTAGTTGGGAAGGGGAGGGGGCTATCCCCCCTCCCCCCGCTTTCCTGTACCTACGCCAGTGCATTTAACTACTGGTTATTAGAAAAGGGTTGAGGGAAGCCCTGAGCGAATTTTTTGAGCTATATACATGGGCTGTATTGCTAAAAAAATTTTTAAGCAATAAATGAAACCAGCAGCAAAACTTTACTTTAGACTAGAGTTTAAAGCCGTGCTTAGAACATTGCACTAGCTGGCTGACAGATTTAGCAGGTGGCTAAAAGCTGAGCAACTTGGCCAACTAGCTGATACTGGCTGACCAACAAAGTTGCTGGCTTCTGGCTGCGCAAATTGCTCTGAAGTAAAATTAGTATTGTTTTCGACAAAAAGAAAACAATAATAATAATGATAAATTTAAGTTTAAATTAACACAACTTTTTTTTCTCAATTAAAATTAAAATCAAATAAGACTGATATTATCATGAATAAAGATGTTCATGATCATGTTGAAAGAACTTAAATTGCTTCTTCTTGAGTTCAAAATCAATCCAGTTAGTGAAAACATGGACTCCACTAATACACTTGAGGTTGGTATGCTAAAATACTCTTTTGCAAGCACTGTCAAGTGTGGATACTTTGCATGATGATTTCGCCAAAACAATAAACAATCCAGTTCTTCATCTGTCGTAGGTGTATGTGAGATAAATTGCTCTACTTCCGAATCAATTTGATAATTTTTATCCGCAGAAGTAACACTTTTCTTCATCTCTTGAAGTAGTTGTCGCTTAGCACTAGGACCTGATTTTGAATCTTCATCATTGTCTGACTTTGATATAACTAAAACCAGATAAATCAATTTAATAAAAAACGATATCAATAATAAACAAACATTACTTGATGAACTCAATGATTTAATAAAATAATAACTACTCTATTTTCCACTTTCAACAATATGAAAAAATTAATTATTTTTTAAATAAAATTTGTTTGTGTTTCAGTAATTGTCTCCAAAACAAAAGCCTCTTTTATTGATGTAGTTAGTTGTATAGACATATAATACCTTGAATTAAATCTAATTGGTTCACTTTTATGTTTAATGCATTCTCCAACAAACTTTCCTTTATTTCATCTCTTGTATAAAAAATTTTAGCGGCTGGATCTAAAAAACAGCAAATTTTTGCAGAAGTAGATAACTTAAATCTTTTATCAATTTTTCGGAAGCAACACTCCTTTAATTTTTTTATTTCATTCAAATCACAAGAGTTAATCGAAAGAAGTTTTAGTATTTTGTGTTTAACTAATGGCAAAATAGAAAGCGAATTTTCAGCACTGACCACAAGGGTTAATGATTCAAATGGTTTTAAAAATTTAACCAATTCTGAAATCAAAGCTTGTTCATCATTATCTAAACAAAGGTCTTGTCTACCACATTTCTTAAGTAAAATTTCTACAGGATCTAATAATTGGTTAATTGATTCTATCATAAAGAGAGTACTGTTCCATCTTGTGCGTATTTGCTGTTTCAGACTTCTATGTTGTCTTTTTATGAAATTATCGTCAAATTTTTCATTACAAGAAATATCTAAATTATTTGTGTCAATCATGTTTGCTTCATCATCAATTTGAATGGGAAATTGCTGCTCTAAATCATCAATTTTCACTTCAGCAAGAATTCGAAGATTGTTGTATAATTTGATGTCTGCTTCACAGTGTGATTCCTCTAAAAGTAAAGTTGACTTGAAATTCAGGCAGGTTACAATTCTTCTGCATTTTTCTAACAAACATTTTGTTTCAGTACAATTATCTATGCCATCACATGTCAATATTAAATGCAAGATATGAGCTAGACAATGTTGTGGATCCTTTGAACCTAAAAGTCTAGAGGTTTTCATCATATTCGCTGCACCGTCATGTACGGTATGCAGCCTCATATCTCTACAACGCCTCTGAAAAAATTCTTGAACAATGTCTTTGATAAAATTATGACAATTTTCACCTGTATGAGATTCTAAAGGCAAACAAGCCAAAGTAAATATTTTTTTATGCCAGTTTTCATTGATAATGGAACACTTCAGACCCATATAATTAATTTTTTTATACTTGTCAGTTCAACCATCAAATAAAATTGTTGCTGCATCAATATTTTGTAAAATTCCCAATACAGATCGCCTTAAAGATTTGTACATATCAGGTAATGCTACTTGACTCACAGCAGAACCTGTGGGAAGTTTTAGACCAATGTTTTTCTC